TCCATCCCATTAAATTACTTTATAGGTAATAATTTTAACTAAATCTGCTCAGCAACCACATTCTACCCATATGAACAATCATAAAACCTGCCAACCCTGACTTTGGCTTGTAGTTTCAAGCTGTGATTCTGTTACAAAGGGCTTAGAGCATAGCTGTACCTTTTCAGTCTCTACAGAATGATGTATTATTGTCAATAAGATATTTAGCTTAAAACATACAGAATTCAAGATCTCTGTGATTTATGAGGGTAAGTTATGGGTAGAAAAGAAAGCAGGAAAAGCTTACAAATTAGGAGCAATTATCTGTTTGTCACTGGGAAGTCAATGAATATTTTGTTACCCAAATATTGTCTGATGCAAATAAGAAAATGTAATGTTACAGGTTCTCTGTTTTTAGGTAATAGTCTTTTTATTTTATTTACTGATTTATTTATTTTTATTTTTAAAATATATTTTTATTGATTTCAGAGAGGAAGAGAGAGGGAGAGAGAGATAGAAACATCAATGATGAGAGAGGATCATTAAAAGGCTGCCTCCTGCACGCCCTCTACTGGGGATTGAGCAGGCAACCCGGGGCATGTGCCCTTGACCAGAACTGAACCCATGACCTTCAGTCCGCAGGCTGCTGCTCCATCTGCTGAGTCAAACCAGCTAGGGCTTATTTACTGATTTATAAATTACATTTGTTAGAGTGACATTGGTTAATAAAATTATATAGGTTTCAAGTGTACAATTCTATGATACATAATCTTATAGTGCATTTTATGCCCATTATCCAAAGTCAAATCTCATTCCATCATTATATGTTTGAACCCCTTTACTTTTTACTATCTCTCCACCCCCCCTTACCTCTGGTAACCACCATACTGTTGTCTGTGTCTATGAGTTTTTATTTGTTTTTCTTGTTTGTTCATTTGTTGCTTTCAGTTTTATATCCCACATATGAGTGAAATCATACAGCTCTTAGCTTTTTCTGTCTGACTTATTTGCTTAGCATGACATTCTCAAGATCTATCCATATTGTCACAAATGTCAGTATTTCATCTTTTCTTATGGCTGAGTAGTATTCCATTGTATATATGTACCACATCTTTATTGAATCATTTATTGAAGGACATTTCAGTTGTTTCAATGTCCTGGCCAACATGAATAATGCTGTAATGAATATAGAGATACATATATCTTTGCAAATACATGTTTTCAAGTTTTTTGGTTACATACCTAGGAGAGAGATTGCTGGGTCATAACTCTTAAATTTTTTGAGAAACCTCCATACTGTTTTACATGGGGGCTGTACCAATCTACATTCCACCAGCAATGAATGAGGGTTTCTTTTCCTCCACAACCTCTCCAACACTTGTCATTACTTACTTGTTGATAATAGCCATTCTAACAGGTGTGATGTGGTATCTCCTAGTTTTTATTTGCATTTCTTTAATAGCTAGTGAAGTTGAGAATCTTTTCATGTATCTGTTGGCCATCTGTATGTCTTCTTGAGAGAAGCATCTATTCAGGTTCCCATTTTTTAATTGGTTTGTTTGTTTGGTATTGAGTTGTAGGAGTTCCTTATATATTTTGGATATTAACCCTTTGTCAGAACTATTCTTTGCAAATATCTTCTCCCATACTGTTGGTTGCCTTTTTGTTTGTTGGTGGTTTCTTCGCTGTGTAGAACCTTTTTAGTTTAAAATAGTCTCATTCATTTATTTTTGCCTTTACTTCCCTTGCCTTTAAGGTCAAATTCATAATAATCTCTCTTACACCAAAGTCCATAAGTTTAGTACCTGTTTTCTTCTATGTAATTTGTTTCAGGTCTTATTTTTAGGTCTTTAATCCATTTTAAGTTAATTTTTGTATATAGGGACAAACAGTGATCTAGTTTTTTGTGTGTTTTTTTAAAAAATATATTTTATTCATTTTTTTTACAGAGAGGAAGGGAAAGGGATAGAGAGTTAAAAACATCGATGAGAGAGAAACATCGATCAGCTGCCTCCTGCACACTCCCTACTGGGGATGTGCCCACAACCAAGGTACATGCCCTTGACCGGAATCGAACCTGGGACCCTTGAGTCCGCAGGCTGACGCTCTATCCACTGAGCCAAACCGGTTAGGGCCAGTGATCTAGTTTTAATCTTTTGCATGTGGCTTTCTAATTTCCCAGCAGCATTTATTGAAGAGGATTTATTTTCTCCATTGTATGCTTTTTGGCTCCTTTGTCGAAAATTATTTGTCCAAAACACATAGTTTTATTTCTGGGCTCTCAATTCTGTTCCATTGTACCAGTCTTTTTAAATTTCTGATTGCAAATGGAAAATTTCTTCAACTACACTTGTGATATAACTATATTTTTAGTGTAAATCACCAATTGTGTGCCACATATTCACTCAAAACATCAACCCTCTTAACTACTGTAAGAAATGTAACTAAGTGGGAGGGTGTCATTTCACCCTCCCCCAACTCAGTATCATATTCCTAATGAAAATATTTCCTTATTTTCAATAACTTATTCCTCATCAATTCTGTGAGAGATGAAAGCATGCTCTTTTGAGTGTATACAGGAAGATTTGCCAATTGACTTTCAACTGGTGATTTATGCTTTTTCCCTAGAATATTCCTTCCTTCCTTTAACATATCTTGTTAAAAAGTTCAACTGAATTTTTTTCTAGTAGCAATGAACTTAATGTAACTCTAGTCACCAGTAAAATGCAATTGGATTATCCATCAGGATGAACATACAGTATATATACATATACACACACACATATGCACAATGCAAACTTAAAAATCACCTCAGATCTTAAAAAATGTTTTTGAAAATAGTTTAAGTGGGATATTGGCAAAAAGTCATTTACTCCTTGTAATTTTTCTTAGGAATTATGAGTTGCCTATTAGTGCCAGAGACATAATGCAGAAATTATTATAAAAATTTCTTTGCATTTTTCTAAATCCCATTTGCCCACCTTAAAAAGAAATCGTAATTACTAATCTTTACTAATGATAAATTAGAAAGTGCATTTCCATTGCATTTTGTATTACCATAAGCCAAAAAAACTTTGATGAGTTTAAAAATATCACAGGGGATTAGGTCATAACTCATTAGTGCTTTCTAGCACAAGAATAAATAATTCACCACCCGATTTGGTATGATAGTTTTGATTCACACATGAGAAATCTTATTAGCCCATGACAGAATAAAATTATTTTAAAAGGTATGTGTATAAGAATTTTCACAAATATTTGCTTTAATAATTATTTTTCTTCAAATAAGATCAGAAACCCACCACTAATCCCTCATCAAACTAAAAATTATGGAGGAAAGGAAGGAAGGAAGGAAGGAAGGAAGGAAGGAAGGAGGGAAGGGAGGGAGGAAGGAAGGAAGGAAGGGAGGAAAGAAGAAGGAAGGAAGGAAGGGAGGAAGGAAGGAAGGAAGGGAGAAAGAAGAAGGAAGGAAGGAAGGAAGGAGGAAGGAAGGAAGGAAGGGAGGAAAGAAGGAAGGAAGGAAGGAAGGAAGAAGGAAGGAAGGAAGGAGGGGAGGAAAGACGTACGCAGGAAGCAAGAAGAAGGAGTAGGAGGAGGAAGGAAGAAGGG